CCTTGCGTTCACAGTGTCTTTTTGTGTAGAAGAGAACGATTGGAGAACATACGCACAGAAAAGGAAAATAGCGTGTTTCATATATTTCACACTATATAACAGAGAAAAAACGTTAGAAAGAAAAAAAATTTCATTTCAAAAGAAAAGAAATGATTTTTGTCGCAGTTCTATTACCTGTTTAAGATATGATAATTTCAGTTATTCTTAGAAAAACATTTTTTAAAGAAATAAATTGACAAAACATTTAAAAAAAATATTTATCTTGTATAATGTTCATTTTTTACTTTTTGAGAGAATGTATTATCTGTTGATAAGCTTGTTTAATGTGACATACAGACATTGGTAAGTATAACTTGTTTATAGTTTATCATACATATTGTAGTTCAGGAATACAAATATTAGGTAATTCTAATGATTTGATCGATAATGTTATTTCAAATTCACTTATTATTAAAAATTATCATCTAAAACTGATCACACGATATTTTATTATGTGTAAGTTATTACGGATGTAATTTATATTCTTTGAATTTGATTGTATAAAACTTACAGATAATTTTTTCTGTATTTTATGACCATATTAGTGCTTGAAAAAGAATGGTGGATAGTACAAAAAACGTATTCCAAATCTCTAAATGTCTTATGGTACAAAATATTCTATCAACATTTATCCGACGAAAATTATTAAGAAAATGTACAATAAGCTCTATCTAACTAAGATTTTAGAAAGGAAAAGCAGAAACTAGGGTACATACTATGACGCCTAAATCAAAACTAATACACTTTTCTCCTTTTTTTTTCTATACTGCGACATTTCTCTGCGGACTGTAAACATAAGAGAATCTTATTTTTTCTTCCTTTCTTATGGATTATATACATATCACACATTGTTATTCTCATAATACCATGTAAACATCACTGATTTTCATATTTTTAGATATTGAATATTTATTCTTTTATTGAATCTCATTCTCAGAACATGGAAAATGAAACTAGTGATCCGGATGCAGAAAATAGGGTAAGTTTACAAAAGTTATTGTATATTATAAAGTTTATCATCTATTTTTTATTTTTTAATAGATATTACTAGAACCGTATGAATACATTCGAACGATACCTGGCAAACAAATAAGACCAAAACTAATAAAAGTACATATGTGTGAGAATAATATAATCGTCTAAATAAACTTTTATTTTTTCAGGCATTTAACCATTGGTTACATATTCCTGATGAAAAATTGTTAATAATTAGTGAAATAACTGAAATGCTTCATAATGCAAGTTTATTAATTGACGATATTCAAGATAATTCAAAATTAAGACGTGGAAGTCCGTAAGTTATTAGTATTTATTCATTTTTCTCTGTGAGTTTAATGTTCTTTGTAGAATCTTACACATGTATAAAAATGTGCAATTAAACGGGCTTCAAAATGATCTATCTATAGCACATATTTTCAAACTAATTTCTTCATAGAGTTATTGGTCAAACATTATCTACGACTATTTGTACCACATCTTTGCCATCTTCATTAAACATAGTGAAATGTATATAGTACTGCCAAATTGTTAGACGACAGAGATGAGCAAGTCCGGACTTAAAGTAGTTGTTGATGATCTTGGACTTGACCTTCAATGGAATTGTATTTCACTTAGACTTGGAAATGATCGGACTTGCTCACTTCTGTTAGACTAATAGGCAAAACATTAAACAAATGCAGTAATTTTAACCTATTGTAAAACAATTAAAGAAGTCTAGTACTGTAAACAAAATCAGACTCGGTATGGTTTGATATTAAAAAAGAATTTAATGAGTTTCAAATTGAAATACACTAGATTGTTTAAAAAGTATTTTTAAAATGCAAAAAATATTAACGAACTGTTCTTGATCAGTTCCACACAGTTATCTTCTCCAAAATATACAGACTCATTTTTTTTACAGAAACCGTTTGTAGTCCTTATATATCCCATAAAGTGACTAAAAGTTTGTATTATATGAGAAGATTTTATGATGTTTAATGCACACTATATTTTGAATGTTTTAGAGTGGCTCATGCTATCTATGGAGCACCACTGACAATTAATGCGGCAAATTTTGTGTATTTTCTTGCATTAGAAAAAGCATTAACTTTAAATCATCCTGATGTAACAAAACTATTCGTAGGTAAAAGAAAAAGAGTTTCAGTCATAGAGTGATATTTTAAACCATTGAGACACTTATGAAAGATCAATTGCCAAGTTATATTACTAATCATTTATCTCTACTTTTAGAACAATTAATTGAATTACACCATGGACAAGGGATGGAAATATGGTGGCGAGATAACTTTGTTGCTCCATCTGAAGATGAATATCGAACTATGGTTATTCAAAAATGTGGTGGTCTATTAAATATTGGTATTCGTCTGATGCAATTATTTTCAACTGAACAACAAAATTTTCATTCAATCTGTCAACTATTAAGCTTATTATTTCAAATTCGAGATGATTATTGTAATTTGATATTTAACGAACATATTCAACATAAATCCTATTGTGAAGATTTAACAGAAGGAAAATTTTCATTTCCTGTCATTCATGCTATAAATACGCACGATAATGACACGCGAATAATTCATATTTTAAAACAACGTACACACGATTATGAATTGAAATCATATTGTCTTCATTTATTGCATGAATTCGGTTCGATTAAATATACAAAACGTGTCTGTTGCGACTTGGCAAAATCAACGTTTGAAGAAATTGATTTTTTAGGTGGAAATATTTATTTGGAAAATATTGTTCGAACATTAATGAAAGTATTTGACGAGCCCGATGACGACGAACAACGACGATCTACTAATAAATTTGGAGCAAATAATAATATACTCGCTACTGATGAGTTAGATGATGATGAAGAAGAAGAAGAATATTATTCAAATAATGGATACGATGACGATAATAATCAGTCAAATTCTCAAGATGAACAAGAATATGTAAATGGTAATGACTCAATAAACTATACATTACAGAAGACGCAAAAGAAATTTACGAACAATAATAGCAAAACAAATAATGGCAAATTTTCTCCTGTATATCAACAACAAACAACGAATAATATTCCATACTCAAGTCGTTTCGATTCCTAAGTGATATTCTATCTTTTAGCGAAAGTTAATGATTCGAGAAAAGCATAACAGTTCTCAGTCTACTAGAATGAACAATTGGATTTTTTTCTTTTCTGACAGATTCACAGCAATTTTTGTTCAACTCTGAACTTGAATAGATACAAGTTTTTCGTTTGCATTTGTACATACATGACATGCAAAAAACAGTAAGTTGCCGTATTGCTGATATTTGTGCATTATTTTTAAAGTGTTTTTATCGTTATATTCTTAAAAATTCATTCTACTAGTCAACTTTTTCTCATTGTTGATTAAAGAAAAACGCAACAATAATACCATGCAAACTTTTAGAAACAAGGATCACTTTGAGTTCCAGTTAATGTCACAAACAATAAGACATGTTATCACGTTTTGACGCTTGAACTTGTTTTTTCAACGATAAAATAATCTTCTATTCATGAATAGTTGTTAGAGAAACAGATAATACCCAATTAAACATACATATATGAAATGGATCAATAGAACAGATTTATGATAAATCACTACCTTGTTCTTCTTAAAAAAGACGTAAAGGAACCTCTCACTTGGAGGACAGTTGCCCTTACTCTGCTTTAACAGAGCTTGAAGATCATCTGGAGTCGCAAAGTAATGTAGTGTCAGGGCTTCAGTGTTATAGATTAGGGCTGGTCTGAACAAATAGCTACGCTGCACACCTTTAACTTGTAGCTACATAAATTTCGCTAGAGAAGTACAACACAGCATTCAGTCTAAGCATAAGACTGTCAAAAGGCAACATAAGAGTATAAAAATCGAGGCAACTGATCGCGATTTTTTCGCGCTCATACAAAAATCAATGACTCTGGTAAATGGAACGCATCTACCAAAAGTAATGGGCTTTTCTTCAAAATGTATTTTCTATTTTATATCTGTATTTCACACTATAGATACAAAGTTTCTTAGCAAAAAAAAAAGATTTAGAGAATTGTTTCACTCATGAGCTAATCTGCTT